TCTGCGTCCTCGCGTTCCGCCGCTGCCTCCTCGGTGCCTGCGAGCATCGCCACCGCCTCCACCTTCTGCGAAGAGACCTGAGCACAGGGGCCGGGGGATGCGGGAGTGGTGAGGGGGCAGCGGCCCCTTGCGGACGGTCACCGTGACCCAGAAAACCTCAGAGACACTTAAGGAACGCCGGGGCTAACCCCATACCCTGTCTAAACCTAGGTGGTGGTTCCTGCCTGGAACCTCAGCACTCTCGGAGGCCGGAGCAGTATGATCGCAAGTTCGACCCCAGCCTGGGTAATTTAGCGATTTAGAGTCCTTTTCTCAAAAAATAAAATGGGCTTGGGATGTAGGTAAATGCAAGGCCCCGGGCTCCATCCTAGTTCAAACAAAACCAAACCCCCAATAACGTCCTCAGCTACACAACAGTTTCCGAAGCGGTGGATGAACAGCATCAGATGCACCCAGAATTGAGCAGCCTCAGTGGTCTTACCATATTAGAAGGGAGTGTTTGTGCTCAGAAATTTAGCTTACTTCAAGATATCCTTGGCCAGCTTCGGACTTGTTGGGGTCACCTCCCCACGAGGCAGGGACTGACCTGTAATAAGCGTCGCTGTCTTCCAGGTATGTTCAGTGGTTTCTCTATGGCCAGGCAGGTGTCACAGTTATAAATGCAAACACGGGCGAGGCGAGCTCAGTCTCCTGTCAGCCCCGTGGCCAGAGGGTATCAGGGTCAGAGTGGTTCCAGAACCCTGGCGATTCCCTCCAAGTGGCTCGGGAATGCCGTGTTTCCTCTTCTGGCTCACCAGTCTGTACTCTCCTGGCGGAGGACCTTCTCTCCTCTTCCCACCTGGCACTCTAACAGACAGTCGTGCTGGCGCTTGAATAAATAAGGGGACCAGAGCCGCTGGCCGGGCGAAGCTGCAAACCTAACTAGGAATTTTCAAATACTAGGGAGAGAAAGTCACCCTATCACCGGCCGGATCTTTAAATTTTGAAGCCAATGAGGGGCAAGGGCGTGACCGGGCGTGTTTTTCATTGGCTCAAAGCGCAGGAGTTTGGGTTGTACCAATCGCACCCTGAAGGAGGGAGGTTTATGGTGGTGCCGAGCGGAAGGTACCCCATCTGGCGTGGTGGGGAGAGGCGCCGCAGACCCAGCATAGGGTCTTTTGACTTTCATATCCAGATGAGGCCCAGAAGATGGAGGAGGAGGGGCAGGGAGAGGGGAAGGAAGAGGAGGCCCTGAGACCAGAAAGGGACAGGAAAGCCTGTCTTCAACACCCGCCTCCATACACTGGGGATTGAACCCGGGGAGCCATTTACAACTAACTGTGTGACTGTACTAAAAGCCATTGAATTGCCTGCTTTGAATGGTTACATTATACAGTTAGTGAATTAAATCTCAAACTTCCATCTTTTTTGGTATTGGGAATTGAACTCAAGGCTTTACCACTGAGCTACACACCCGGACATTTTTTTTTTTTGAGACAGATCTCGCTAAATTACCACATTGACCAACCTGGGCTCAAACTTGGGATCCTCCTGCCTTAGTTTAGCCTCTGCCTCCCAGAGTGCTGGGATTACAGGTGTGCACCACCATGCCCATTTTCCTTTTTATTTCACTTTTTTTCCGGTGGAGGCTTACACTGCTATCCAGGCTGATTTCAGATTCCTGGGCAAACGCCTTCATCTTGCCTCAAACATTCCAGTAGCTGGGACTACAGGCATTGGGACACTGCACTTGTACTCTGACCACCCATACCACCATCACTCTACAACTAATATATATTCTGCTATATTATTACACTCCCATCCATTCTTTACCCACTAACCCATCTTTTTAGTATGCATTTCAAAGTTGAAGATATCAGTATGTTTCCTTTCTTCTTTTTTTTTTTGCATTGCTGGGTATTGAGCTTTGAGCTTTTTTGTTGTTGTTGTTTTGTTTTGTTTTTTTTTCTTTCTTTCTTTTTATTGAGGTTATTGGTACAATCTAGGTATACAATACAATTACATTCATCCTTGGGATTCTGTACCTTTACAT